GTATGAAAGGATATAGTCTGTGACTACGCTTTAAAATAATTAGTTCTAATTGGTGTGCCATGCTCATCACCAATTGCTTTTAACCCTGCTATTCCCATTTATAGAAGTGTGTGCCCTTCTTGAGGCTTGTGGAAGAGTTTTTTCTTTCTGAGTAGAACCCCGAAACCTGCCTCTCCCACCCTTAAGTCCTAGGTCAGTCCTTGCAGAGAAACAATTTTGCCCTCCCCAGGCATAGGAAGGGAGATGGTGGGGACGTCTACCCTTTGCTTGCTGGCTGGAATAGGCGAGCTGTGTCCGTAGACTTTTTCAACTTCCTTCACTGGTCCATTCCTATCAAGTTAAACATCGAGTCCATTCTCTTTTTGACCACAATTTCTTCAGCTTTATGTTCACTAGTTACATTTTTAATAACATTACTGTTTTTAAATTTTTAAGCAACATTTGTGGCTAATTAAAAATGTTTAGTGCATAGTGTAACTATTACCAATTTGGGATTGAACAGAAAGAGATAGTTACTGTTGTGTAATTCTTAGGGACAGTAGATTGCACTTTCTTGGTGTCCTATCTCTTGGACTTTACTTAACAAGTAGTGTTTTTTTGTTTTGTTCCATTTTTTTCCTGTCTTTGTTTTTTTTTCTCTTAAATCTGTTGGTTTCTCATAGTCAAAGTGAAGAGAAGCATTCTAGCAATGCCATGCTTGATGTCTCTTATGTATATGTGTCTGCCAGGAGGAGAAGGGAGATGAAAAGAAAAGATTCCTCTGACTGATGGGGCCTTGCCTGCATGTGATAGCAGCATAGGCCCTATTTCCATTCTGAGTACCAGATTCCTATTGCACAGAAAATGAGCCTACAGAAACTAAAAAAGAGGAACTAAATTCAACCAAGAAAAAGGCAGCACACATATCTAGAGATAGTTTATGGTTGGGAAGAAACTATTTCTTTGGGGAAAAAAATACTAGATTATATTTTTACCCTTTATGAATAGTTTCCACCTTGCTAAATAGAATGACAATAGGAGAACCCTGGAAGCTTCTCCATTAAATTCAGTAAGTCTTGGGCTTGGATGGTATAAAAAACATACAGAAATTATAGGATCAGTGATACCGTCTGCCACCTCTTAGCTCAGGCATCCTCAAACTACAGCCCGCGGGCCACATGCAGCCCGCCTACGACATCTGTCTGGCCCGCCGGGTGTTTTTGCCGCCACTGCCTGTCCTGCTTAGCAGCCGACTTGTCCCAGGGCCTACAGTCTGGCCCTCCAACAGTCTGAGGGACAGTGAACTGGCCCCTGTTTAAAAAGTTTGAGGACCCCTGTAGAGTTTAAGAGCATATTCAGTGTGGTCTTCCAGGACTTTTAGGGACCTGCATCTGAAATGGGTCAGAGATCCATACTTCTAGCTTATATCTTATAAGTTTTCCCTTTAAGGAAAAAAGCACAGAAATAAAAGTTTTAGTTAAAGCAGATTGAACTTAGGATATTATATATTTCAGTGTGAGCAATCAGGAATAAGTTCCAGCACTCTATTTAACATGATAAAACCTATGGTATCTTTACAGGTGCTCAGTAATTTTTAAAGCTTCCCAGAGCTCTGATTTTCTTTGGGAATATAGTTTATTGATAGTATATATTGAAGTTTCTTTCTTCTGGGGGGAGAAGTGGGTGTGACATTATTTATAACCTGGGGATAGACTTTCCCATTCTCCAAACCTGCCTTCCTGCAAGCAGCTTGCGGAGTCTATCTCCCTGTGTGGCCTGGCCCTCGGTTTCCTGCCTGCCACAAAGGTAAATCAGGACCCAGAAAACATCAAGGGACTTCATCAAAACTTGTCCTTATGTCACTGCTTATTGATGAGTCCTTTATCAAGCCCCTTCTTGGTATTTTGTTCCATATCCAGTCAACTGAGAAGCTAAAAGTAGTAATAGTGGCCGGGCATGGTGGCTCACGTCTGTAATCCCTAGCACTCTGGGAGGCCAAGGCAGATAGATAGCTTGAGCTCAGGAGTTCCAGACCAACATGACCAAAAATGAAACTCATCTCTACTGAAAACAAACAAACAAAAAACTGAGTGTGGTGGTGCATGCCTCTAGTCTGAGCTACTCAGGACACTGAGTCAGCAGGATCACTTGAGCCCAAGAGGTTGAGGTTGCTGTGAGCTATGATGATGAAATGGCACTCTACCCAGAGTGAAAGAGTGAGACTTTGTCTCAATAAAAATTTTTACAAAACCAAACAAACAAAAGTAGTAATCATGCCTTTACAATCCATGACTATCATGACTATCTTTGTATCTTACCAGATTGACTTCCTAATGTTTGTAGGGCCTCGAGCAAATACAGATTCTCCTCATCACCTTCAGAATCTGTCATCTTCCTTTACTACTGAATAATGATGCTGATGATGACAGAAGCACACGTTATGTGTTATGCATTATACTAAGTCATTTTTAATTTGTTAGTTTTACCTTTTAACGAACAAAAATCTACAGTTATCAACTTTCATTTATTTTCCGTTTACTAGACAATTGACATCATCTCTCATACTCAAGATAACCTTTTGATACAGGTGCTATTATTATCCCTAATTTTGCATATGAAGCAGTGCAGACTCAGTAAAGTGAAAACTGGAGTTCGTTCAGCTAGTGAAGTAACAGAGCCTGGATTCAAACTTTACATTGGTCTACCTGGTTCTCAGGCCCTTGAACTTCCCACAACCTGTGATTACAACTTTCCTAAACCTTTGTTTGAATTTGTTTTCCTCCAAACAACAGGATGCTTTTA